CTTTGATTTATCTAGTAGAACTAGCTTTAAAATGCAATGGGTTTTATTTTAACTATGAATTCTATGAACAGGTTAGCGGTATAACAATGGGAACTAAAATGGGCCCAAATTTTGCAAACCCTTTTGTTGGATATATAAAAGAACACATGTTCACACAGTATGATGGCCCTCACACCTCTTTTACAAGAGATATGTCGATGACGTTGGTTGAATATTCACAGACAGTTTGTTCGAACTAGAAACAGTTATACTTAGAGTAAATATAATTTTCATACTTCACCAGCTTACGCGTCTAAAATTTCAGATTCGTCACTATAAATAAAATCACGACCAGCATTCATTATAAATTTACAAAAGCCGGCAACTATTCAAATTGAATTCTAGTAATCTAATATATATGAGATCAATAACATACCAAAACCCATTTCATGAGACTACAGAAACTGTGCAGTGAACCTGATTATTTCAATGCCTACGCCATAGAACTGGAATACTTTTTCCATGATCGTGGCTACGCCTCAAGAGAAAAACAAAACATAAAACTCGTAACTCTGCTGTAAATCAAGACAACACCCCTCTTCATCGCTCGTAGAAAAAAACTCTAAACTCTCTTGTGCCAGAACACCTTTTGTCCACACATACCACCCAAACAACTAACAGGTCAAAGACTTTATTCTAAGTAATTTTCACATTTTGCATGAATCTGTCACCAATAAAAATATTTTCCAAGGCCCCGCGTAATTTTCTACTGTCACTATACTAATTTCGGAAACTCCCTAGTTCAAATAACCTTCACAACCTCACCTACACAAATAAAAATATTGTTGTAGGTAGCTATCCTTGTAATGGAATGCGTTGCAACACGTGTGCTTACGTTAATCCATGAAAATTTGTCCTAACTCGAGTTTTTACATTAAGGATCAACATTGTTACGACATCGACGTCACGTGACTACTATCACGCCACGTCATTCTCGAACTTTCACGTCTTTTCCTTAAATCTCGTGATCTTTCTAGATATAGTGTAGCCATGGATATATAAGACCGGCCACGAAGCGACGAGGAGGTAGTGAGTAATTGAACTGCAGTCAGAGAGTGTATAATTGAATTGGGTATTATTGAAGTCGAGCACGTGAGACGTTTGTTTTAGCGCGACTGTTGAAATTAAGTGTATCGCAAAGTTATATTCAGAAAGAATAAACCAGTTTTATTTAAGAAAGGACTTGTGTCGCTAAAGTTTCGTCGGAACGAATTTACGGAAAATTAACTAACGAACGGAGACGTAACAATATATATAAATATATAGATGAACTAGACAATCCAATGTAACGGTCTCACTTGATACAATGAAAAAACAAAACTGTTACACACGCACGTAAGTTTTGTGCAGGTAAGTTTTGTGTTAATACGTATACAGTTCAAGTAATTTAGGCCCAGATGCGCTAAAACTGATTTTGTTAGAAAACATAACTATTCTCACACTTTGATGTCTTTGTCTTGGTTTTCAACACTCGTCTCTCTGGATACGGTATTTAACTTTGAGCAAAGGATATTTGACGGACGTCATCTGTTTCCTCGTTAATCTGTTCAACAGTGTTTAAAAAAAACTACAAAAAAAGGAAAACTGAAACTGAGTCCTTTTGATTCGTTTTCTTTTGTTACGTTTTTCTGTAGCTCGCTCAGTACATTTTTTGTTTCGAAGTTTAGAATTGCTCATTTTATAACTGAAGAAATTTCACATCTTATTAAACTTAATCAAATTCTTTTAACAAAACAAACTACATAACTTAAAAATTAAAGTTTTAACAAACAAATTACATAACTTAAAAATTAAAGTTTTAACAAAACAAATTACAAAACTTAAAATTAAAGTTTTAACAAAACAAATTACATAACTTAAAAATTAAAGTTTTAACAAAACAAATTACAAAACTTAAAATTAAAGTTTTAACAAAACAAATTACATAACTTAAAAATTAAAGTTTTAACAAAACAAATTACAAAACTTAAAATTAAAGTTTTAACAAAACAAATTACATAACTTAAA